TCCATTCGTAACAGAAGTTTTACTTGCATAAAGTTAGCCTTCGAAGGCTTACATGAGTGACTAATCTTTTCCTGGAGAAATCGCAGCACTTACCAAAGGTTCAAAACTCTCTTTGTATTCAGAGAGACAGAGTCAGCCGGAGATATTCCGAAATAGTAAGCAATCACCACTGGCTCCATCTTTCAGCGTCTTTGCGGAAGCAAGCTGATGCCGACGTAACATTTGGGGAAGCTAATACTTTGTGTTAGAGGCTGAGGGAAGAGGAAGCTGAGAATGCCGTGTGTTGTTATCTTAGAAATTTGTTAAAATCGTCTGGTCGTTTTTATTGATTATCAGCTAGGCTGTAAAATGGAGATCGTCTGCAAGCCGTTTGCAGTAATAACATCCTCACTGATTATACTGTTAAAGTCAAAAAATTCACTAATTCCAAAGAATCTGTAGTTAAAAAGCCGAATTCCTTCGATGAGAGGTAGGGTGCTCGGGAAGTAGCTCGAGTGACAGCGGATGATAACAGCAACTATCTGCTGGCTAGGCCATGGCTACCTATTTTGAGGTTGCTTAGAAATAAGTTGAGGAGAGTTTGTGAATATCTGAACAAAAGTTGACAGAATTAGATTTTCTTCACTTTTTAGTATTAATGAAAATTTGCCCTATTCTATTTCGAGTTCACTGCATCGGCGAAACTCTGTTTGAATGTTCCAGTGGACTTTTACACTTTATTGTTTGTATTCTTTTAACATTACGTGAGTACCACTGAAAGGCGCCCCTTGTCCATTTGTTGTCTTTCATTCTTGCCACATGACCAGCCCATCTCTGCCCTCCAGTTTTTAAAGCATCGTTCATTTCGGATCAGAGCCGCAACACCGCTTCATTTTGTCAGTGTCATAAGGCGTACTGATATCTGAAATTGCTACACAAGTTCATGTTGATATTTCCAGCAAATCAACAGTTGGGTGGAGCAGCAGACGCGCGATAAAATCAAGGATTTGGTTCGCACGGAA